CTATATATATAGAGGCTTTTTATATTCTAATCAGTATATATTCTTATCTTATTTCAGAAGAATATCATCTAAAATCTTTAAGAAGATTTTTTAAGTATAAAATCTACTTTCAAGACTATAATTTTTTCGGTGTGCCTTTTAATACACATGCGCGTATTTGATACGTATTATGCGGTTCAGAAAAAGAAAAATATCTATCTGTCTAATTTTCTTAGAAAGTTTGTGTATAATTTTTAAATTATTCAATTTAAAGAATTTTTTTAATTAAGTACACCGAAAAAATTATATTCTTGTAAGTAGAAGATTTTATACTTAAAAAATCTTCTTAAAGATTTTAGATGATATTCTTCTGAAATTAAGAATATATTCTTTATTTAAGAATATAGTCTTTTTCGATAGTGAGATATATATGTTTTTCTATAGAGGCTTTTTATATTCTAACCAGTATATATTCTTATCAATATTACTTATTTAGAGGATTTTCCTCTTAAAATAAGAAACTCTTCTTGGCGCCTATTTTAGTATAAAATATACTTAAAGTAAGTGGGATATTCTCAAAACAAGAATACAAATTTTTCGGTGTAATCAATATTTTATTGACAGCCCGTGACCGTTTCATATATAGTTGAATCGAATACTATTTTGTTACTTCACCAACTTTTTTTTCTCAGTGTACGATTCACATTTTCAAACGTTCAAGATGAAAAAAAAAAGAAAAAGAAAAATAAGCCGATTAGGTCGACCAGGTGCAAGTTCAAGGCGATTCGTTGCCATTCGCTAAGGTAGGGTTGTCTTATTTTTGGAAGATCATTCTCCTGGCTTTTTGATGAACCCGCAACGGCCAATCAGATTCCGATGAAACTACTACCACTATTACTACTTATAACCATCCCTGTCGCAAGAAAAACACATTAGCACACACACACACACACACTTGTCTTCATTATCTGTTCCATTTCTGTTTACTTTTTAGGATTGTTCGCCGCAAAGCAAATGTTCTTTCTCATATTCTTTAGAAGTGCATTATCGGTCGGGGTTGATAAATAAATCGCTTTCATTTGATGATTTTTAATAACAAAAAAAAGAGTACAGATTTCTTTAATAAAGTTCAACAAAAATGTTTTCTTGATTTGATTTAGCCACTCAAACAGAATCGGTAAATCATAAATATAATTTGTATATCTCAAGATATATATATATATATATATATATATATTAGGTCTACCGGTAAATTCTGTCCGTTTTTGGAATAAAACAAAATACAAAATTTTTCTTACCGTCAATAAACTTTATTAAATAATATATAATTGCCATTATTGTTAATGATTTCTTGCCAGCGTGAGGGCAATTTGTATATCCCATTTTTGAAAAATTAAGAAAAATTTCCATTTTGTTTTATTCCAAAAACGGACAGAACTTTCCGATAGACCTAATATATGTACCTATATATTTGTGATGATCTATTGTCCGATTGCCGATATCTCCCCCCCCCCCCCGAGTAATCACCCGAAAGATATACATTGTATAGCTGAGATTTCGACTTAGGCGTCCAAGTTCAGGGTGTGTGTGCGAACCGAAGTTTGTACTCTTTTCTCGTGGTCAAGGTCGTTGTAAAGCGGTGGAGTCTCAGCGGGAAGGGGACGGCGGGTCCCTGGATCGGTAGCGTAGGTAGATAGGTATATATGGACGTCCTCGCGTGTCCGGAATACCAGATTGTTGGCCCTCCCCGCCGCTCTCGGGTGGTGGTGTCTTTTAAAATTCACCGCAACAGCGTCCGGCGCACACCTCGAGGAGAGGACTCGGAGGGCCCGTCGTTTCCGATCAGTGCGACCAGATCGTGCGACGTTTGCACTTTATTTCAATCACCGTCGCTGACAGTTTAATCCGGACGTAAGCATCGGTTTGCCGAACAGCGGGAGAAGGTGGATTCAGGGAGAAGGTCCGTTTTATAGCATCTCTGTGATACCAAAGTTATATTAGTGTAAAGTATTTACAGTATAAAATATATATAATTATAGATAAATAATCACCGTGTGTAAAAATACACAGATACGTTTACACACATTGCACAAATAACATCAAGATTTTTATCTTTTAAGTCGCGTAAGCAAAATTTATAAAATTTTAATTTTTTTTATTGTTAAGTAATTCTATATGTCACATTTTATAATACATATTTATATACATATATATATATATATATATAAATTTTATTTTAAAAATATTAATTTTTTTATTGTTAAGTAATTCTATATATATATGTTACGTTTTATAATACATACATACATACATACAATATATATATACATATATGTATCTATGTATATACATACATACATACGTACATACATACAATATATATATATATTGTATGTATGTATTATAAAATGTAACATATAGAATTACTTAACAATAAAAAAATTAATATTTTGAAAATATTTCACACACACACACACACACATATATATATATATATTATAGAGAGAGAGAGAGAGAGAATATTTAAAGTCGCTCATTATTGTATATAGATTGTATATTTTAATCAAAACAATTGTCCCCGTTGACTAAGTACACGTAAGAAAATTACCGTTGTTTTATCAGCAGATACTTCAACAACTTGCTCTATTTTTGTATCAATAACTAAATTTTTTGTTTTAATGAAAACGATATAAAAATAACTCGTAAAAATTATTATTTTTATTCTTATATCTCTCTTTATATAAAAAATACAAAAATTTTATTATTTTGTATTTTTACTATTTCCTATTTTTTATTATTGTAGTCTTTTTTTTATTTTTTTTTGTTTATTTAACAACAAAGACTTATACCGCAGCTGTTATAAGTGCAATAAACTGTATAATATACTGTTTGTGTGTGTGTGTGTGTATGTGTGTATCATATACTATACATATACTATACTTTCATCTTTCTGCAACAACGCATTTCTAATGAACTTAGAGTAATCATAGTGAGAGAAGTGTCATCGAACGCATCTTTGTTCTCGAATGATTCAGACAAACACGATATAAATTTCTGATTCGTCGAATGTCACGTCTGAGAATAATTTATAATAATAATTCATGTGTATTCTCTTGCACCAACACAATAATCGACTATAAATGATTAAAAAATACGTTTTTTTTATAAAAAAAAAGAAAAATGAAAATTTGTTGCGTGCTGTACAAGTGATTTTATATACATATATACCGGTTATTGAAAACTCAATTTGAATGAGGAGATAAATTATAATTAACGTTCACGCGAGCAGGACAATACAAGTAAATAAACGTCTCCGCCATTTTCAAGGCCGATCATTTTTTTTTTTTTTTTTTTCGTATTCTTTCTCTCGCACTTGTCTCGGGACGAACAAGAACATGACGATTGGAATATTTTCTCGAAGCTATGGTAAACAAACCGATGCATTTCTCTCTCTCGGTGCATAAAATACATTACGAGAGAGGCGTACTACTTCAAACCGAGACGTCGAGTCATTTGAATCAGCCCGTGTCGTTTATTCAAGTCAAGTAAAAAGACTTTGAGCGCTTTGAAAGGCCAGTTCTCCGCGCAAGAGAAATTGTTCTCCTCCTCCAAGAGAAGATACACACGTGAAAAATCAATACACGATACTCTTCATTATTATTTCCAGCCAGCCATGGAGGCTTGGATTATCTTAACGCTGGTGACATTAACCACGGCCGTTCCTCCTAATCGAGTACCGGTCCGCGAGATCCTGCCTCCGCACACGTCGAATCGTCATCAGCAATTCGTTCCCTCGTTCCAGAGGGACGCTGTTGAGAGTCCGCCGTCTACCACCACCACGTACGACCGTCTGTCGGATAATGTAAATTATGACGACTTCGGCTCGCGCAGGTACCCATTGCGCGACGCGGTCGAGTCATTGCCCGTTAACGTCCTATACGAAGAGTCGAATTCCGAGTTTCAAGACGATTACGAAAGGTGAATACTCGAAGACGCACGACAGTGTTTGTTGTTCGCCGACAGCGTTGTCCGCCGACTCTATCCAAGTTTTTATATCTGTTTGATAAAATATAGCAAATAGTTTTTATATAGCAGTTCTGTGCGACCCCCCGCGCTTGCAAAAGGTTTTTGAGACTTTATTAAGGAATTTATTTGACTTTCTTTTTTATAATATTTTTTTTAGTATATTATAAAAAGTGCAAACTCGTACGATTTTCAGAATATTTAACGCTATTTACTCCGGATAGCCAAATGTGAAAACTCAATATAAAGCAAATCATTGTATGGATTAAGTTGCTCGCCAATTGCTGTTGTGTTGTTTTTATTTAACGCAACGAAAATGTTTTTGTCACTTTGGTAATCGATATGCTGAGTTTTATTATCAATCAATTGTTGTAGCCAATGTTTAGGACATGTGAGTCAGCAATATGCGAGCAATATATGTGAGCAATAATTTTTATTCATAAGTTGAGAAAAATAATATAAAATTAAATAAACGGCTCGATGGGGAAAATTCAAATAATGGTACACAATCGCGGAGCCTTTGGTCCAGGAAAGAAGTGGACATTCAATGTACTGTAAAAAAAAAAACCACAGTGTATTTAGGGACGTTTCGATCATTTATTGTTGATCATCCTCTCTCAGCACTGTTAAATAACAAAAAATTATAATTAAGTACAATCACATACAATTAAACCTAAAACAAATAAAAAAAAATAAAAAAAAAAATGATCGAAACGTCCCTAAATACACTGTGGTTTTTTTACGGTATATTGAATGTCCACTTTCTTCCTGGACCAAAGACTCCGCGGTTGTGTACCATTATTTAAAATAATATAAGTTTATTGCCGATGAGTTGTTGAGAACTTGCTGTATATTATATTTTGAAAACTGTTGCTGTGGCAAGAACATACCGAAAAGAGGATACACCCTTTTGTTACATTGCTGAAAACATACACCGAAAAAATTATATTCTTATAAGTAGAAGATTTTATACTTAAAAAATCTTCTTGAAGATTTTAGATGATATTCTTCTGAAATTAAGAATATATTCTTAATTTAAGAATATAGTCTTTTTCGATAGTGAGATATATATGTTTTTCTATAAAGGCTTTTTATATTCTAATCAGTATATATTTTTATCAATATTACTATTTAGAGGATTTTCCTCTTAAAATAAGAAACTCTTCTTGGCGCCTATTTTAGTATAAAATATATTTAAAGTAAGTGGGATATTTCCTCAAAACAAGAATACAATTTTTTCGGTGTACGTGTATATATATATACATCGAAAAACTTATATTCTTGTAAGTAGAAGATTTTATACTTAAAAACTCTTCTTAAAGATTTTAGATGATATTCTTCTGAAATTAAAAATAATATATTCTTAATTTAAGAATATAGTCTTTTTCGATAGTGAGATATATATGTTTTTCTATAGAGGCTTTTTATATTCTAATCAGTATATATTCTTATCAATATTACTATTTAGAGGATTTTCCTCTTAAAATAAGAAATTCTTTTTGGCGCCTATTTTAGTATAAAATATACTTAAAGTAAGTGGGATATCCTCAAAACAAGAATACAATTTTTTCGGTGTATGAGTAATATTTGTCAAAAGGAAAAGTCAAATGGCCAATAAGAGCCTAAAACACAGATGTCAGTGTGTGAAAAAAAAGGATTTATTAGAAAAAGTTTACGTTTCGATCCAGGCTTTGGATCGTCCTCAGATAAAAAACCTGAAGGAAGCAAAAAGATCGCGAATTACATTAATAAATATATAAACAATTCAGTATGTAACAATCAAATACAAGAAAATGGAAACTCACAGAATAATTGATCCAATTGTTTCAGAAATCTTGTGTAGTTGACAAACCGAAGTAAGTTGTAATAAATTTAAAAACGGAAAACATGTAATATTTTACACAGTAATATTTGTGGCAAGTTGCCAACAACTTGCACTCGGTTGGCTATCTGGGTAAGAGCGCTTTTTAATTTTTTTTCTTCTTTTATTATTTTTTAAGGAACTTGCATTGATCATCTTTTGAAATGCCGTTGCTTTTCTTGACCTTCTCTCTTCTTTTGATGTAACAATACACAGGCGTGTTAATATGCTAATGTAATGTACGTAGCGATAACGGAAGAGTGCCTCTGAGAGATGCGGTGGAACATCGCGTGCCGCCTTTTCTCGGTGCCGGTGTTGATCACGAGTCTATTTGGATCGAGCCCGTTACACCGCCGATTCTGCGAAGAACGCATGAGCCCAAAATCATCTGTCGTTATGATTCCAGAGCTGTTCACAGGACAGAACCGTTTTCTTTGTTTCTACAAAACATACCGAATTACAAATGCACACATCTGATTTACGCTTCGGCTCTCATTGACGGTAAATACAATGCACTTTGTGAAATATCTTTTTTTTTTTTTCATACATATTATTGTACTTATTAAATTAATTAATTTTTCTTATTTTATTTATTATTTAGAAAAGGGAATTGTGATCCCCAGCGATCCAGAGTACGACCGAATCAAAGGTATTGTGTAATTTTCGTTTTTTTAATAATATTATATCACGGAAAAAAAGATTTGCTGAAATAGCAAGAAGATGGCCAGCAAGAAAAATTTGCTAAACCTATTGAATTTTTTGTTTTGCCCACGTAACGTTTTGTTGATTAATCAAAAAATCTGTAAACTCTTAACAAATTTTTCTTGCCGGCCATATAATAGCAAAACTGTTTTTTCCGTCCGGGAAAAAAAAATGGATTAAATCTAAATAGATCTAATTTAAATCTAACGAGATAAAAAAAATGGAAAAATAGATCTAAATAGATATAAAGTTGATCTAAACAGATATAAATAGATCTATGTAAATTTACACTTTATTTATCAGTATATTTATTTTAGATCTATATAGTAGATTTACTCAGATTTATTATATTAGATCTAAGCGGATCTAAACAGAACTAAGCAGATCTGAATAGATCTAATATAGTAGATCTGAGTAGATCTAAAGTAGATCTGATGATAAATAAAGTGTAAATTTACATAGATTTACTTATATCTATTTAGATCTACTTTATATCTATTTAGATCTAATTTGAATCTAATTAGATCTAGTTTTCCATTTTTTTTTATCTCGTTAGATTTAAATTAGATCTATTTAGATTTAATTCATTTTTTCCCGGGCGTGTACATACATATGTACATACGTACATAAAAATATAATATAAGATGTATATTATTAAATTCGCTCGTGATATTAACAATAAGTATAGATAAATATAAACAATCGAGGTCTGTTGCGAGCTTTAACGGATCTTAAAATTTATTCAAGAAACAAAACGCAGAGAAATAAAATTGAAATTTCAAATAACTAATAAAAAAATAACACAAATAAAATATAATATGTATTTGATATTAGATTACATTATATATGCTTTTACATGAGAAGATTATTTAGACATGTGCGAGAAATAATTAACGCATGATTTAATTAACTTTTTTTTTATTATTTTAATTATCTTAAAATTTATTAAAGAAACAAAACGCAGAGAAATAAAATTGAAATTACAAATAACTAATAAAAAAATAACACAAATAAAATATAATATGTATTTGATATCAGATTACATTATATATGCTTTTACATGAGAAGATTATTTAGACGTGTGTGAGAAATAATTAACGCATGATTTAATTAACTTTTTTTTTTATTATTTTAATTTGATGTAGGTGGTTACAATTCCGCCACGGAACTTCGTTCGAAGGATCCAGCGTTGCGCGTGCTGATATCCATCAAATTTGCAAATCCACTTTCTAGCCTGAATATCGAACAAGTTGCTCGTTCTTCGAACTTTACGTTGCTAAGATCTATTCTCGAGTTCCTCGACGAATATCGTTTTGACGGTATCGAACTTGATTCGCCAACTGCCGGTGAAAACTGGTCGGCTTTCAAGACACTGCTGAAACGAATTGGCATCTCATTGGCTAAGAAAGGATATGTTTTCGCGGTGTCATTGAACCCGGAAGATCCTGTGGATTCGGAACTTCCATCGATCGTCGATTTGATAACTCTGAAGACCTGGCGGGAACTTTCGACTTGTCGGAACTGCGAATCGACGACGAAATTTGCTCTTCATCCCGGTCCTTTGAGTTTTGTCGCGCACAAAACAAGCGAGTGGATAGCGCAAATAAGCGCCGAACAAAAATCGAAGATTGTTCTCGCGTTGCCGATCTTCGGTCAGGGATACATCCTGAAGTACGCGAATCTCACCAACGCGGGTGCGCCTGTTCTCGGACCTGGTAAAGAAGGTGTTTACACCAAACGTCAAGACGGAAAATTAGCATATTTTGAGGTAAAATATATATATATATATCGCGATTTTAAAACTCAACACAATAAAACTATATCTATCGTGAAAATATTGTAAATCGAGAAGTGAATTATTTTGGTCCAGGTGTGTGAGAAACTGGAGGACGGTTTGTGGGTCTTTGGAAGGGACGATGAAGGACCGTACACGAAACGCGCCAATCAATGGATCGGATACGACGATCCGATATCGGTGAAAATCAAAACGGCGTATGTCCGAGCTATGGGACTCGGCGGAGTCTCGTTATATTCGCTGGATCTGGATGATTTCCAGGTAATTGTCACAAAATTAAGTCAATATAAACATTTAGAAAAAAAAACAAAGGATTTTTTTTATATCTTATTATTTGTTTTTTTATTTTTTTTTTTTTTTGAGAAGTTTTATTCCTTTTATTTCCACTTCGTTGTGGAATGACTCATGCAAGTTAATAACGTGCGTATATTTTATACTGATAATTGATTCCGCAAAATATATATATATGCAAAATATACTCTTAATGCGGTATAAAGGTAAACAACTTTTTTTTGAGGATTATCACGCGCTAAATCAGCTATGATAATATATGCGTAAGATATATATATATGAATGTTTTACGCAACACGTATTGACTAAATCTATATATTGCGTTTTGCAATTTTGTCACACCTTGGCAAGCTTTCGTCGTATGTAATAAGTATAACATATTCTACGTTTATCTTTGTTTGCTCCCTCACTATAGCTTACCGGTAAAAAATTTTTCATGTATAAAATTTTATGGACATATTCGGCATATAAATTTGCATAATTAATAGATATAATAATAGATATAATAATAGATATAATAATAGATATAATA